TGAGCACAGCTCACCTCCAGGCCCTAATAGCAGAGCAGAACCATAATAAACCCCTTGGCAAACATGGGAAAGCCCCAATTCCAGAGCTGGAAAAGGCTGGGAATGCCCCTGCCCTCGCTGCACCCACTCCTGGCTCTGCACCAGCCACACAGAGGTTTGTGCTCTGGGGAGGGAGGGAGGTTGGGGCTGGGGGGAGCAGCAGCAGAACCATCTCCAGCCCTTCTTATGTATTCAAATGGAATAAGAGCACAAGGTCTATTTTGGTGGCCAGAATGGATCCGCTCTGGAAAAGGGCCATAAATCCCAAAGGGAGGAGAAAGCATTTGGCCAAGGTCATGGTAAGGGATAAAGAGGGAAATCAAAGACCAAAAGGCAGACTGATGCTCCACATCAGCTCCTCCATCCCATCCTGGAAACAGGGCTCTGATGGCACCATCCAGCACAACCATTCCCGTGCTTGTGCCAGCGCCTCAGCACCCTCACAGGGAAGAGCTTCTGCCTAAGAGCTCAGCTCAGTCTCCCCTCGGGCAGGTTCAAGCCATTCCCCTTGGCTTGTCCCTGCATCCCTTGTCCCAAGCCCCTCTCCAGGTCTCTTGTCACAGTGATCCCAGAGAGGGTTTGCTGGGAATGCCCTAGGAAAGGGGGCCGGGAATGCGCAGAGCCAGGGGGGGAGCATCCAGCATCCCACAGCCAACGTCTGCAGGGAGCACGGCCCCGGCCCTGGCAGCGCAGGGAAGCAAAGCGCTGCTCATCCCCCTCTGGCTGCGCCTCCGGGCCCGGCTCCAGCGCCTGGTGCCAGAGCAGGGCCCGGGCTGTGCGGGGGGGAGAGCTCCCAGTGCCGCTGCCACCGCGGCTGCTGGTCCTGCAGGGCAGCCAGAACCAGGCCCAGGCCCAGCCTCAGCCTCAGACCCAGCTCCAGCCCCAGCTCCAGCTCCATCCCCCAGCTCTGGGCCCATTCCCATCCCCAGCTCCAGCCCCATTTCCAGGCCCATCCCCAGCTCCAGTCCCATTCCCAGCTCCAGTCCCATTCCCAGCTCCATCTCCATCCCCAGCTCCAGCTCCATCCCCAGCTCCATCTGCAGCTCCAGCTCCAATTCCAGTCCCATTCCCTTCCCCAGCTCCATCCCCAGCTCCGGCTCCATCCTTGACTCCATCTCCATCCCAGTTTCAGGTCCAGCTTCAACCACAACTTCAGCCCCAGTTCCATCCCAAAGTTCCAGCCCCAGCTCCAGTTCCATCCCCATCCCCAGCTCCATCCCCAGCTCCATCTGCTCCATCAGCTCCTTCCCCAGTTCCAGCTCCTTCCCCATCCCCAGCTCCATTCCCAGCTCCCTCCCCATCCCCAGCTCCTTCCCCATCCCCAGCTCCTTCCCCATCCCCAGCTCCATTCCCAGTCCCAGCTCCCTCCCCAGCTCCTTCCCCAGTCCCAGCTCCTTCCCCATCCCCATCCCCAGCTCCATCTCCATCCCCAGCTCCTTCCCCAGCCCCAGCTCCATCTCCATCCCCAGCTCCTTCCCCAGTTCCAGCTCCTTCCCCATCCTCAGCTCCATTCCCAGCCCCAGCTCCATCCCCAGCTCCCTCCCCATCCCCAGCTCCATGCCCATCCCCAGCTCCATCCCCATTCCCAGCTCCATCCGCGTTCCCAGTTCCTTCTCCATTCCCAGCTCCTTCCCCAGTTCCAGCTCCTTCCCCAGCTCCATCTCCATTCCCAGCTCCATCTCCATCCCCAGCTCCTTCCCCATCCCCAGCTCCATTCCCAGCTCCATCTCCAGTCCCAGCTCCATCCCAGCCCCAGACCCAAAGCAGGATGTGGCCCTGCTCACTCCCTGGGACATTGACCTGGGCCAGGTCTTGCCTGATAAAGAGGCACCTCCTGCACCACCTCCCACGGGAGGGTTTCCCCTTCTCCCTTCCTCCTGCCCTCACTGCTTAATTCCTCCTCTGCCCCCTCCTTCCCTTCCGCAGCCAGATCAAAGGAGGCGGCTGCACCCGCCGCGTTTGATAGGAATCATGGATTAAAGCGGGGGGAAGGCGGCACTGATGGGATCGGAGGAGGAGGAAAGGGGGGAGAAGGAGCAGGAGAAGGCAAAAGGGAAGGAGGAGAAGGCGAAAGGAGAGGGAGGAGCAGGAGCAAAAGGACGAGAAAGAGGAGAGGAGGAGAAGCAGAAGGAGGAGGAGGAGGAGCAGCACCGGGTCCAGGCCTGCGAGGAGCGCCGGGAGCGGAGCGGGCTCCACCGGGCTCCTGCCGCCCTCTGCCGCCGCCCGGCTCCGGACCACGGGCACCGGCCCCTGGGGGCACTTCCCATCCCCGGCCCCGGCTGTGCTGCGGCCTCCTCCCGGGGCCTTGGGCCAGGGAACGGGATGTTTATGGGATGAGTAACATCCTTCCTGGCACTGCCTCTGCCCGCCCCTGGAAGCGGGCACCGGGAAGCGAGGGGCCGGGGCACGGAGCCAACAAGCAAGGAGAAAGCCGGGGCTGGAGCCAGGGGACCGGGACAGGGCCCATGGGGGAGCACCGGGTGCCAGGGAGCAGGGAGGAGGATGCTGCGTGGCACAAGGAGGGAGGCACCGGCTGGGGGAGGCAGCGCAGGGCCCCTCCGAGCGGGGCTGGAGCCGGAGCCGGAGCCGGAGCCCGGCTTGGGAAGGAGGAGCCTTGGGATGGAGCTGGTGCCGCTGGGGAGCAGGTCCCAGGCAGGATGGGAGCCGTGGCTCCTACAGAGCAGGCTACAAAGGGCTTTGGGCACCGCAGTCACAACCCAGGGCTGGAATGTGAGAGGAGCAGCCTGGGATCATAGCATCAGGGATCCCTATGGATCGAGTCCACACGGGGCACTGCATCCCACCACCAAGTGCAGGTGACACCGGGCTCGGCACGCCACGAGTTTGATCCGGTCTCAGCCCCTTTCCCATGGCTGGTACCGTGCATCCATCCGGGAAGGAGCAGCCGCGCTCCCTCGGCTCCAAGCCTGCCCTGCCCTTGGGAGCTGCACACTGCAGCATTGTGGCCCAGCTGGTTTTTCCAGAGCCGCATCCAAAGGGGTGAAATCAGATCTCAAGGGAAGGGAACAGGCACGTTCCTGGCTGCACAGAGGAGCCGGTGGGACCGTGCCAGGAGCTGGGGCAGCTGCTGAGCACCAAAGCCCAGGATAAAGGGGGAAAGGGAGCCCCGGCTGTGCCTCCTGCTCCCAATTCCAGGAGCCGCTGCTCCTTCCCAAACCTTTGGTTGCGATTCCTGCTTCATCCCCCCTGGCTTTGTTTGACACCATCAGATGTTAACCCCAGAGCCTGCAGGGCTGGGAAAGGGGGAAGGATCCCGTTGTGGGGAGCAGGAGCAAAGCAGCATCCGCAAAGGGCTTGTCCAGACTGGAGTCACCCACGCTCAGCAGCATCAGTGAGAGGTTCCAGAGGCAGAGCTGAGCCCAGTGTTCCCTGGTACCCTGCAGAACCCGGGATGGAAGGAGCTGACAGCATTCCCAGTGCCATAGCGGGTGACATGGGGGCAATGGAGGAGCCTCAGCTCACCCTCAAGCCTGGCGCTGCCTCCCAATGCCGCCCATTGAAAGGCCCCTGGCTCCGCTCCTGCTGCTGCCACCATCCCCATCCCTATCCCTATCCCATGCCAAGGCTCTGTCCTTGCGCTGCCGGAGCAGCCAAGGGAGCTGCAGGCACAAACCCGTCACTTTTTCCAAGAGCTTCTCCCTTCCCTTCCCTTCCCTTCCCTTCCCTTCCCTTCCCTTCCCTTCCCTTCCCTTCCCTTCCCTTCCCTTCCCTTCCCTTCCCTTCCCTTCCCTTCCCTTCCCTGCCCTTCCCTTCCCTTCCCTTCCCTTCCCTTCCCTTCCCTTCCCTTCCCTTCCCCCTTCGCTGCGGAGCCGGGAATGCCGGAGGCTCCCGGGAGCAGGGATGGGACCAGCCGGGATGGAGCCTGGATCCTGCTCTCTTCCCACCTCTCCAAGGCTCGGCCGAGCAAAGGAGAAGCCTCTCGAAGGCAGCAGCGCATGGGGGCACCGTGAGCAAGGAGCTCAGGGGGATGCTGCTCCCATGGGACCAGCATTCCCATGGGAATGGGGCTCTGCAGACTCCCTTCAGCCCCATCCATCCACCCCAAGGCCGGGAGCATCCATGGGGGAAGAGACCAGGCCTGACACGGACATTCTTTAAGGATGATCTCATTTAGAAAACGCACTTTTGTATCAAAACACATCGTGAAAACGTGTGGAATAAAGGAAAAGGCTCCAGAGCTGCACTGGGACCCGCTCCGTGGCCCATTCCCGTCCTTCCTGAGGTGCTCGGAATCCCACATCCCCATCGGTTTCCCTTTACCACAGAAAGCTTCTCCTTTCCCCCCCCGCTACCCCCTAAAGCATCAGCTGAAGCTGCAGCAGAGACAAAGGCTGGAGCATCCCCAAGCACGGTGAGTGCAAGAATCCCTTGCTCCCAGCATCAGGAAGTGGGAAAAGCCCTTCCCATGCTCCCTGCGCTCACACACTGGAAACCAGCGCTGCTTTCCAAGGGAATCAGGGAACAGAGAGAGGTCTGGATTGCTTTAATCCTTGCAGCCGCCCTCCTTGTGCTCATGAGGCTGGATCATTGGACAAGGGATAACAGCCCAGGCAAGCTCAGGCTTCCCGAGGAGTTTGCTCTTCGCTCCGTGCCATTTGCCAGCCCGATAAATCCATCCCATGTGCCTCCCTTCCCCTCCCCGCGCATGGAAAGCCGGGATGGAAGCTTTGGAGCGTGACTCAGACCCATAGGGAACCAAGGAGCTCCCTTCCCGCAGGCAGGATGCTGGGATCACTGGGCCCCAGCCAGCACAGGGGTACCATGGGCATGGAGAACACCGGGAGTGGGGATAGGCAGGGATAACCCGCAGGTACCTGCGGCAGCAAGCGGCACCGGAGACAGTGTTCCATAGGGAGCCGGTGTTCCATAGGGAGCCAGTGTTCCATAGGGAGCCGGTGTTCCATAGGGAGCCAGTGTTCCATAGGGAGCCAGTGTTCCATAGGGAGCCGGTGTTCCATAGGGAGCCAGTGTTCCATAGGGAGCCGGTGTTCCATAGGGAGCCCGGTGCGGAGCGCGGCTCACGGTGCGCCCCGGTAGCTGTAGTGATTGCGGTCGGGGTCGCTCATGGTGAGTGGGAGGCTGGGTTTGCGCTCTGGGTCCTTCCCATCACTCGGCTGAGGGGGACGCTGCTTGAAGAAGTCGGATACGTATCGGACCTGGGATGAGAGCATCGGGAAGGAGATGCTTGGGGACCGCTGCATCCCATGGAGCATCAGGGTGTTTTGGGGGGGCAAGGGGGACACTCACAATGAGGACGGCAATGAGAGCCCCTTGGAGCAGCCCCACCAGCACATCGCTCCAGTGGTGCTTGTAGTCGGACACCCTGGTGTAGCCCACGTAGATGGCGAAGGTGATGAGGAAGAACTGGATGGTGGGACGCAGCAGCCGGGCCCACTTCCCCACCAGCCGGGCTTGCACATAGAGCTGCATAGGGAATTGGGGAGCCGTCACCCAGTGTGTGTATGGGGGCAACTGGGAGTGAGGGGGACAGGGTCCATGGGGGCACTTACCGCCAGGAACATCATGCAGTACATCCCAAAGGAAGAGTGGCCCGAGTAGAAGGACAACCTATGGGGCAAAAGGCATGGTGAGGCCCCATGGCAGGAGAGCATCGTTATCCCCCAGCCCCACAACTCACCTGGACTCGGTGACGTTCCTGCTGTCCCCTTGGCAGACGTTTTCCAGCTGCACGTAGATGGAGCAGTTCACCTTGGACCAGTCGGGATTGCAGACAGCCAGGAAGTTGGGCCGGAGGCGGCCGATCATGTACTTGGCCAGGTCAGTGAGGGACTGGCTGATGGCCCCCCCAAAGAGGAAGGTCCCCACCACCTTGTATAGGGCAGCCAGGTAGTTGTTGAATTCCGACTTGGAATAGAGGCGCTCGGTGTAGACCAGGTACAGCTCCCCTGATGAGAGCTGCAAAGGACAAGGGTTGAGGGGCTTTGGGGGTACCAAGCAGTTCCCCAGCACCATGGGTATGGGATGCTCCCAGTGCCTCCCGCTCCCTGCAGGGATGAAGGTCCCAAGGGAGCTCCTGACCCAAGGGCCCAATTGGGGTCTCAATTGGGTGCACTGGGCCCCTGCTCCTGGGTAACACCAATGGGAGCATCCCACCCCTAAGAGGGAAGGGGATGATGCTTCCTTACGATGACAACGGTGCAGGTGATGGTGACCCCGGCCATGAGGCCGTGGGTGATGGTGTCTGCCTTATAGGGGTAGCGGATGGAGTCGTCGTTGCAGTAGAAGCCCCGTTTGTACGGGGAGTTCACCAGCGTCAGGATGATGAAGGGCAGAGACGCTGCAAGGCAGAGGAGAGGTGAGGAGTTGGGGGGGACACAGACAGGCACCCCCTAGGGGACACCATCCGGAGCCACCCGCACCCCAGGGCCAGGAGGACTCGCCCTGATGCTGATAGAGCCCTATCACAGCCCACAGCTGCCTGAGGCGCCCAGATACCACGGGAGATGGCGGCGGGGCACCCACAGGGCTGCCCCACAGCTCCCTGGTGCTGATGTTGTGCCCTCTCCTCCCCATTGCTCAGGGTCTTCCAGGAGCCCAGGAGGATGCAGCTCGTTAGAACCGAGGAGAGGCTCTCAGAGCAGCGGGACCCTCACATCGGCTCCCAGGGGAGCCAATGCCTGGAGATGAGGGGGGGTGAGGATTCCGTTATCCCCTGATGCTCTCCGGGCTCTGGAGGGATGCTGCAACCGGTTGGGATGGGTTGGTCCCCGGCATCAGCGTGGTTTGAAGGGGAGGGGGGGGTCTGCCCCATCCGTGCCCATCAAAGAGGAACCTCCTGGGGATGCTCGGCCCCTCCTGAGGCCGGGCTCCGATCCCGGTTCCGCCTTTCCCAGCGGCTTCCGGCTCCCCTGGTTCCACCGTGTCCCGGGAACAAGCACCTTTGGCCCCGCCCGCACCAACACCACCCCCCCCCCCCGGGGAAACGGGAATAAACGGGCGGAGCCACCGGGACCAAGCCCCGGTGTGTGTGTGTGTGCGTGTGTATGTATGTATGTGTATGTATGTGTGTATGTATGTATGTGTGTATGTATATGTATGTATGTATGTGTGTGTATGTATGTACGTATGTGTATGTGTGTATGTATGTATGTATGTGTGTGTGTATGCATGTGCGTGTACGTATGTATGTATGTGTGTGTACATGTGTATGTGTGTATGTGTATCTGTATGTGTGTATGTGTGTGTGTGTATGTATGTGTGTGTATGTATGTGTGTATGTGTATGTATGTGTATATGTATGTGTGTGTATGTACGTGTATGTATGTATATGTATGTGTGTGTATGTATCTGTATGTGTGTATGTATACGTGTGTATGTGTATGTAGGTAGGTATATGTATGTATGTGTATGTGTGTATGTATATATGTATGCGTGTGTATATGTGTGTATGTTTGTATGTGTGTGTATGTGTATACGTGTACGTGTATGTGTTTATGTATGTGTGTGTGTATGTATGTGTGTATGTGTATATGTGTGTGTGTATGTATGTATGTGTGCATGTAGGTATATGTATGTATATGTGTGTGTATGTATCTGTATGGATGGATGTGTATGTGTGCATATGTATGTATGCGTGTATGTGTGTGTACATGTATGTATATGTGTATATGTATGTATGAATGTATATGTATGTATGCATATGTATGTATATATATGTATGTATGTGTATGTATGTGGATGGATGGATGGATGGATGCGCATGGGTCCCCCCCTTGCAGCCTCCTCCTCACCCACCTCAAGCACCCCCCGCGGCTCGGATCAGACCCCGAGTCCCTCCCTGCTCAATCCCAGCCTCCACAAACGCTTCCCGGAAAACAAGAGCAGGGAAACGGGACCCAAACAAACCCAGGACCGCCCCCCCCCGGCTCCCAGCTCCCGGCCCGCGCCTTGAGGCCGGAATTACGACCGGGGCCTTCATTTTTAACCCGGTTCCATTCGCAGCTTCCCCGGTTTAGAAACGGGCGGTTGGACCCCCCCCCCCCCCCCCCTTGGGGCAACGGCCGAGGGGAACGGGGCCAGCGCCGCGGGACCCCTCCGCTCGCCGCTCCCAACCCCCGGTTCGACGCTAACCCCCCTCGCCCGCTCCAAGCGCTGCGATCCCCGACGGGGCCCCGCAGCTCCGGGGGTAGGGCCCGGTGCCCGCCGCGGAAGGGAAACGGCGCCGGTGGGGCCGCTCAGGTGCAGCACCGGTACCGGGGGCACTCAGACACCCCCCCCCCACCCGGTACAGCCCCACCGGAGGGAAGGGGTCGGGGAAAGGAGTTGGGGGGTGTCCGGGGTCCGCCGGTCCCGAGCCCTCACCGACCGCCAGGCAGAGCACGTCGAGCACCACGAACACTTTCCTGCGCTCCATCGCGCTGCCGGTGACGGCCCCGCGGCCCGGCCCCGCTCCTCTCCTCACATGGCCCGGAACGGAGCCGGGCCCGACCGGGAGGTAAAGTCCGGGCGGACGGGATGGGACGGGACGGGACGGGACGGGGAGGGGCGGAGCGGAGCGCGGCTGGGGCGGGACGGGGCGGCACCGGCAGCTCCGCTCGGTTGCCCCCGCCCGCGGGTTGCGGAGGGGCTGGGGCAGGTGTGGGGAGATGGGGACTCCCCCCCCCCGGTACCTCCGGTTGCCCCCGAGGAACGGGGATGGGAGGGAGGGGGTGAGGCCGCTTGTGGGCTCCTTTCCCGAGGGAAAATGGGGGAAAAATGGGGGGAAAAAGGGAAAACCGAGAGTGGAAGAAGGCGGGGCCGCGGGGGGGATTGCGGGGCTGGCCCAGGCCCGGTTTTTCCCTCTGGAAGAGCTCCTGTTTTAAGGCAGGATCCGACCCCTGGGACGTGGGACAACGCTTCCCCAAGGCTCAGGCGGTGCCGGATCCCACTGCTGGGATGTGGCAGAGCAGGGATGGGAGCAAAGGGTCAAACACGGGTCCCCGGTGGGATTGGGGGCAGCCGGAACTCTTTTGCTCCAGGCCCGAGGCTCAATCAGGAACGGAAGGAAACAAATAACAGGGAAAGCACCCACCTGGAGCCATGGGGCTGGTCTGGGGGTGTGGGGCAGGCTCTGGGGCTGTGGGGGGAAGCAACGGAGCTGGAAACGCTCTGAGGTGCTGTGGGATTAAAGGAGAGGGCCAAGAGCTGCTTGCTGGGGTCTCCCTGCTCTGCTCCAACCCCATGTGTGGGCCTGTGGGCCCCGGGTCCTAGGGGTGGGAGGGGAAGAGCTCCAGGGCAGGAAAGAAGCAGGATGCTGGGGGGAATGCAGGGGAGGATACAGGAGAGGATGCTGGAGGGGATGCAGAAGTGGATACAGGAGGGGATGCTGGGGGGAATGCAGGGGAGGATACAGGAGAGGATGCTGGAGGGGATGCAGAAGTGGATACAGGAGGGGATGCTGGGGGGAATGCAGGGGAGGATGCAGGAGAGGATGCTGGAGGGGATGCAGAAGTGGATACAGGAGGGGATGCTGGGGGGAATGCAGAAGGGAATGCAGGAAGGGATGCTGGAGGGGATGCTGGAGAAGATGCTGGGGGGGATGCTAGAGGCAAGGGGCCTGATGGCACTGTGGGGTGCCCAAGCTATGCCCTGGGTGGGGAGGATGCAGGGTTTAACACAGCCTCCTCCCACACTGAGCTCACCCCCATCGCAGCCCCCAGCAGGCCTTGGCTGTGCTGAGCCTCCCACCAGGCTGTTTTGGGGTCTCAGTGAGGACAGGATGCTGCCCAATGGGGTCACACAACCCCATACTGCAGGCCCCTTGCTGCAGCAGGGCAGAGAGGGGCAAAATAAGCCAGCAGCTCCCGTGCCCATGGAGTGGCCTCATGGAGCAGCACCATGGGCAGGACTTTGCCCTATAGCGTGCTGGGGCTGCTGGAAACACCCCGGAAGAGCCCAGCCCCATGATCCCAGCTCAGTTGTGTGGTGCTGAGCAGGGGTTGAGCCCTGCAGGGCCGGAGGGGGGGGGGGGTGTAGCTGGCACTTGGCCCCTATCCATTAGGGAACCATCAACTCCTCTTGTGCTTCCCGTGGGGTCCTGCACCCATCCCGGGGGATGCGGATGCTCCGCTCTGCGGGGCTGCAACTGCAGCGGGATCCGATGTCCGGTGCCCCGGAAAGGAGCCGGTCCCGGTGCCGGTGCCCCCTCTGCCGTCGAAGCGCCGCTCCCGCAGCGTCCCCGCAGGATGCAGTGGTGATGGTGGGGGGTTTGGTCCCGCTGGTCCTGCACCTTCCAGGGCCAGAAGGGCCTTTAGAGGATGCGATGAGACAAAGGACAGGGACCCATTGCTCCCAGGGCTGCTTCTGGGGAAACACAGAGCCAGGAGAGCTCCCAAAGCCCTTTTCCTGCTGGTTTTCCAGCTGAGGGATGGAGATGGAAGCTGCCATCACCCCCAAAGCCCTGGGCAAGAGCTGGAGAAGGGAAGCTTTATGGGGAGCAACACACAGAGGAGCAGCAGCAGGAATGCTGGATGTTGTTTCTGGCTGAAGCCAATGAGGGAGGGATGGAGGGATGAGTCCCTCCTCCTCTTACCACAACCACAGGCTCTCCAAAGGAACCAGGGCACCTGTATGAGCATCAAAGCCTCCTGCCCTCCACGCTGAACGGCCAACAGCCCCAGGGCAGGATGAGGCCGAGGTGAGGATCCTCTTCTTGCTTCTCTGCAGCTCCGACAGCACAAGAGGCTCCTGCTCACTTTCAAATGAGGGGTTTAATTAAATAAATAGCGGTGAGGGGGCTTCAAGGCAGTTTCACTTCACAGTGTAGGGGTTGGGGGGGGGAATGAGTCCAGCAGCAGGAGTGGCTCAAAGTGAATGTGCTTTGTAAAGGAGAAAGAAAACCCCACCAAACCCCTGCTTCTTCTTCCCCAGCCCTTTCCTGCCCTCCTCTCCCTTGGAAGATGGGTGGGAAAAGCAGGGCCCCGGTGGTGAAGGAGCCCATGCGACTGTAAACAGCACTGGAGAACATAAATAAGGGATCCCTGCCTCGGGAGGCCTTGAAATGAACCAAAGAAAGAAGGGATTGGGAAAACTTAAGCCTGTTTGTGGCTGGCAGAGAGGCCTGGCCCTCCCCTCTGCTCCTCTTCCTCCAAGGAGCTTCCTCTCCAGCCAGGAAAGAGGATTCAGAGCCGGGTGGTTCCATGTGTTTGCCTTCCCCTTGAGCCCGGTTATCACACGGTGATGGATGGAGCTCAGCACCCCTCACCCCAAAGCCCTGCCATTAAACCAGCCTGGGGCTTGGAAGAGGAGCCACAAGGTGTGATGCTGTCATCCCTTCCCCTGCGGGGCTGAGCATCACCTCCCAAGGGCTGGCGACAGCAGGATGCGGGTTAATGGGTTTAGTCACAGTCCAGACCCACTGATGGTAGCTCAAAGGGCTCAATGACACCGAGCACAAAACCTCAACCCCTTCCCAAATGTGGAAAACAAGCGGAGGAGGGAAGGTCTGCGCCAGCCGGACAGCATTCCCGCATGGATAAAAGGGGAAGGAGAACACGTGCATTGAAGCCAGGGGCAAACCCAAGCCCTGGAACACACCCGGGAAGCGAAGTGGCTCCGGCCTCCAGCACAGCCCTGTCACCTCCCTGGCCACTGCTAATGGCAGTAAAGAGGGACTTTCCTCTTGGAAAACAGCTTTCCCTGTGCTGCAGGAAGGGGCAGGGATGCTCTCTCCTGCCTGCGATTCCATGCTGGCACCAGGGTCCTACACTTGGTGCCCTCCTCCTCCTCCCACAGCTGAGATGGCTGCATGAACTGGGAAGTTCCAGACCTTTCCATCTGCATGTTCCCCTCCTGCCCTGCAGCACTCACAAGGACCAAGTCCTTCATCACTGAGCACCGAAGCAGCACAACTCTGGGGGGGTGTCTAGAAACTCCCTTTCCTCCCAGGACAATTCCCTGCAAGGGGAGGTGAGAAAGACTTAAGCCCACACAGGATCCCTTTGCCAGGACCTGAGGCCGGCCTCCAGCTGCATCCCACCTGCAGGAACACACAGCAGCAGGCAGAGATCACCATCAGGGTGCCAGGACCCACAATGGGAATGGGCAGGATGATTCCACTGCAACACACTACCTGTGGGTGAAGGGCGAAGGCTCCTCATCCTCCTCCTCTGGCATGGCCATGCCTGTCCCTTGGAACGTGCTCCCTGGGCATGTCCTAAGCTCTTGGACCTGCAGACTGCATCCTGCACCCCTCGTCCCCATGGCACCGGTGACACATCCCTGCTCTCAAAGCATCTCTGGGGCCAAGGCCACTTCCCCTGTCCCAAGGCAGGGACTCTCTGAGCCTGGCATTACCTGGGGTGACACAGGGTCAAGGCAAGAGGGGGTGAGTGATCTCCCCCCCCTCACCACAGCCAGCCACCAGCTTTGGGGGCTGGTGTCAGAACACACTGGAGCAGAAAGGTGTTTGGTTTCACTTGGATCAAGGAGGATGGAAAGACGGGTTCTGACCAACAGCTCCAAACTGTCCCTGTGGAACAGTGGAAGCTCCCGGATTTCAGTCAGTCAGCTCAATGTCCTTGTTGGCTCTGTGACAAGTCCGTGAGTGGAGCTTTTCACTGTGACAAAGGCTCTGACCGAGCCACAGGAGCTGGACAAGCCTGGTGAGCACTCAGGAAAGTATTTACATCTCCGATGCCGATGAGGCCAAACTCTGTGACCGATAAGGACACTTGCGCAGGGGCCACCTCTGGCTCTCTGTCCAAATCCACAGGGCCAGCGATTAAAGGCAAAGCCTCCTTAATGTCTGCAGGGAGAGGGAAGTCCATGCTTAGTGTCCCAGCAGAGCTCTGCAATGGCTCCTGCTTCTCTGCCTGTGCTGGGGCCGCCGGGGGCAGAGGGAAGAGCCGCGGCTCGGTGCTGGTTGTGGGGTGGCGAGGGCAGGGAGCCGAGGGGGTGCCTGAGGATGGCTCTTCCTGGGGGTCGAAGGAGCAGTTGGTCTCTGAAGGAGTGCTGCACTCGTAGCCCTGCCCCGACTCGCTCATGCTGCCCAGGCTGCAGGCAGTGCTCTCCACGCTCAGGGGCTCTGTGCATCCCATAGGGAGGGGACAGGCAGACAAGAGATAGGGAGGGAGAAAGGGGAAGGGATAAGGGACAAAAAGCTGCAGTGAGTCCAAGCTTCCACTTCAAACCCGCCTAAATCCCATCAGTATTTGTTTGCTGGCACAAAGGTTTATTACAGCCACCCAGGGCCAAAGGAGGGCAAGATGCAGCCAGCAGATGGGAGGCCAGCAGTGTTTCTATGGAAATTAAAGGGAATCTCAGAGACACTCCAAGATAAAGCAAATCTGAAGTCTATCCCCTCATGCTGGCAGCCCCTGCGAGATGCCTACACAAAGGCCTCATCTGCAGCGGGACAATGAGGGAATGAACCCATCTGGGACTCCCTGTGTGGCTGCTCACAGCCAGGTCCCTCTGGAAGCAGTGCCAGGTACAGCCCAATTCCTGGTGCCATAAATCAGCCTCTGGAGCAGTTTTCAGTCACTACTGGTCAAGGTAGAGCCAAAGTCTTCTCTGCTCATACCAAGCTCTACTCTTTGGCACAGGGCAAACTGAACCCATTGGCAAGGTGTGGGGAGAAGAGCAACGGCTCCATAATGGCAATGGGAGAAAGGCAAACGCAGCACAGACCCCCTGAGTGAGGGAGATGAGTTATCCCCATGGCAGAGAGAAGATAAAGGACATTACCTGTGCTCTCTATTGCTATCTGGTCTTGACTGAAGTGGGAATCCAGGCAGCCAGTTCCAGAGGGAATGGGGGGGGAGCTCCGAGGACGAGTGGAGTTTTCAACTTCACCCCCATCCAAGTCATTGTCGGTGTAATCCCTGTGGAGACAGACAGACAGCACTGCCACCCCTGCCAGTGGGGATGCAGGCAGGGAAAACGGGGCTGGGATCACAACCCAGCAACAAAGAAAGCAACAGGACTGTAAAGACATCACTGGAACCAATGTCCATCCCTCCTTGGTGTGCAGAGCCCAGTTTAAACAGCACTGAGATGACTGAAGGTAGCTCAGGGTGGCCAAGATCAGCCTGGGAGAAACCTGAAGGGGCTTCGCAGCTTTCCCAATCGGAGCTCTGAGCCTCAGCCCCTTCCAAAGGGAAATAGATGGTCAAAGGCTTTCCTAAAGGGAACCCTTGGGTGGCTTGTGGCAATGCTGGTGTGCCAGCAAAGGGAAGTGATGGGAACATACATTCCCATCCTGGAGGGATTTGGGATTCCAGCTATTTTCCTGTCTTGCATCACAATAAAAAGTGAGTATCTAAGACTTCATCTATGGATTTAATGCATTCAACTGAAATACTTCAGTTTGACCTTTCAAACGTTTCAGTTTCTGCCTCTCTGCCCAGCGCCCTCCCTACCTGCATGCATTTCCAAGCGAGGAATTCGCCTCCAAGGGTGGCAGCAGGGAAAGGAACAAATTCAGGTTCCAAACCACCAGAAATGGTAACTTTGCACTTCAAAAGCTGCCTTCCCTAATCCCTGCCCTTGCCCTTCACTTGGGGGCTTCTGTTTGCCTTGAATGCAAAGTGGTTTCTGACACCCAAAGAGCCCAACCAAGCAACTCATTGCTTCCTCTCCCCTCCCCACACTTGCAGGGGGAGCATCCAGCGCATCCCTCCCCACTCCCACCCCAGCAACCTTCTAGAGAAGCAAGCGGAGGTGCTCTGCAGCAGGAATCTTCACGGGGAGCTTAGAATTACTAAGTTTAGGGTGAGAATATTCCACGCACGTGGCTCCAGGGTGGAGGACGTACTTCTTCCTTCCTAAACGTGTCTGCTGAGTGAAGTAGTCGTAACGCTCCGACTTTTTCCACATGTAGTAATACTCCACGCACTCGCCCACTGACCGGGTACGGACCTGAGGGGAAGAGATCCCAGTGAGAATTCCAGGCATGGAGCAAGGAGCAGCCTCCCATTTAAGCAGCAGAGGAAAAATTCCAGTGCATTCCAGTCATTTCTAGCACTATGGACACATCTAAGCTGTCCCAACAGCAGCACAAAGTGAGCTTTCCATGGCCCTGAGAAAGGGCTCCCCACAGCGCACGGTTGTTCTTGCAGAGCCCAGTGTTGGTGCAGGGCATCCCTGCGCTTCCAGCAGCACGTTTACCATCAAGAGAGCAAACCTGCATCCATTTTCACTGGCCAGCATCAACATGCCCACAATTAATCAGCAGTAGAACTGGACTCTCTGGTTCTGCCAACTCCCAGCACAGCAGCGTATGTCCTGGGGCCCAGCTCTTCCCTACAACAGCATCTTTGGTTCTAGAGGACCCCAGGGGACTTTACAAAACATCCACATGCTCAACTCACTCATTCACAGAAGCACTGCAAGGGCTGAGAGTTTGGAAAGAACTTTTGAGACTCCAGAAAGGGCTAATCAGTAATTAACTGACATCACTCATGCAGGTCAGTGGTGTTTGTGACTTCTCCCACCTGGAAAATAAGGCAGAGCAGGGCAGTGAACAGCCCATCACCTGCTATAGCATGAGTCAACACAAAGCCTGGGATGGGAACTCAGCAGTCCTGAACTTCCTGCATTAACTGAGGCTCGTTACATACCTCTGGTGCCAAGGCACGTGCCTCCTTTCCTCCGTCTTAGTGGGATGCGGTGGGGAATGTCCTTACCTTGTTTGCCTGGATAAGGTGGAAGTTTTTCCCATGGACCCTGAAGCCATGCTCAAAATTCCTACATTCTTCCTCGCTCCAGGCACAAAGCTCATCTAGAGCAGAGAGAAAGTGGAAGTGGAGGAGATGGAGCTCGTTCTAGACTCTACACAGGCCTCAGTGTCTGGGGCAGACCCCAAGCAAGGGGGTTCTCACCTCTGATGACCTTCACGTTGAACCGTAGCCTCCGCAGTGCCTCTTCTGCATTGAAGTTGCATTTAACCAGCTCGTACAAAGCCTAAAAGAGAAGGAAAAGATCCCAGCATGTACCTGAGCAAGACATCCCAAACCAACCTGCTCAAGCCTCACCTTTGTCAGCTGTTTTTCCCAGGAGCCACTTTGCCATTAACCCCACTGTGTCCATCAGAGATGATTCCACTTTTGGAGGCACAGGATCACAAACCCTAGGACTGCAGCTCTGCAGGTCTCTGGGGTGCCTCTGCCCCCCTGCAGACTTAGGGTGAGAATCTAACCTGGCTAACCAGAGGAAACACAACTGCTCTCGTTTCTTAGCCAAATGTTTGATCTTCTGCTGGCTTCACAGAAGAATCAGACACCGTTCTAGAGGACAGAGCCAAAAAGGTGACCCTGCTGCAAGCTCTGGGTTTGGGAGACTGGGAGAACACAGTTAAAACAGTACCCAGCCTGTTACATGCATGTCACATCACCTGTGACTGCGCTGGGGGTACAGCACTGAGGCAGGCAGGCCTGTGGCACAGGGTGCCCAGAGAAGCTGTGGCTGCCCCATCCCTGGCAGTGCTCAAGGCCAGGTTGGACACAGAGGCTTGGAGCAAGCTGCTCCAGTGGAAGGGGGCCCTGCCCGTGGCAAGGGGCTTTAAGGCTCCTTCCAACCCAAACCACTCTGGGATTCCATGGTTCTATGAATCAGGAACAGAGGATCCCTGCAGGAAGCCCCATACTTACCTGCTCATTGTCCTTCACCATCTCTCCTTCTGGCAGGCTGCTGCTGGACACCTCGTCCCACTGCCGCTTCACTGCGCGGTACAGGAACTCCTCCACCTCTCTCTCAGGGAGGATGTTTGGGTCCCACAGCAGCTGATCTTCATTCTCATAGGCTAACAGAAAAAGCACTGAAATAAGATAATCAAACAGAGAATTCCACTGCTTTTCAGGAACGGTCTGCACAGGAGAGAGAGAAGGAGGGAGGAAACCTGGGCTTGGTCCCACAGCCTGGCACTAGGGATGGCAACCATCGCTGGGAATACAGGAGGTGGAGATGCTTAATGCTCCCTATACCTCTTCTGAAGCCCTAGCACAGGCTTCCACTTCTTCAGAAGAGTTGGTTGATAAGGATTTTGTTACCAAAGCTTGTTGCTTTGATTCATTATTATAAACCCCTAAGTTCTAAGGTGTCTTTTCCTGCATGCAGTAAACAAGAGGAGTGGGAGCTGAAGGCAGCTTTGAGCTACAACCCTGGCTTAGGCTCAAACCCTGTCCTACACACAGAACTAGGCAGCTGGAAAGCTGCATGTCCCCCTAACAGCTTGTAACAGTCCTCCAGGAGCTGCTTCACCCACACAGAATAGCAGGAGCACACACGACCACCAAGTAATTCTTGCCCCTTTCAGCTTTCAAAGCTCTTTCTACATGAGAACACAGCACACAAGAATGCAGAGAGATGCTGAAGTGAAGTGACAGCATAGAGGAAGCAAGAAGAAAAGGTTCTGCAATAGGAAACCACCAGAAATGCTGAGATTTTTCTACTCAAATGAAAACACCAGCACTTCCTGGACTGAACTGGTTTCTACAGGCAAAGGAACCAACCCTTCTGCCCTGTAAAATCACTAAAATCAGGTCAGAGGCACTTGACAGAGCACAGAGGTCCCCACTGAGATCTGCTATCAGTTTACTTTCATTTCATTGATGCAAACATGGAAAACACACACTAAATCTGTGCTCTCAATACAGAAGGCTAGAGTACTGATACATGGAAACCTTCTGAGAGTTGTACAGGTAAATGTGAAACAGGCCCTGCAAAACAGATCACTTTTATCCCCTGGAACTTATCTGCTCAGTCTGCAAGGATAAAAGACCTAAAGAGGAAACAAGGGATTTCTGCAGACGGGGCTTTCTGTCAGCTACCTCATTCAGAAACCCCACAAGCTGCTGCTGGTATCACCCTGGTTATCAGACACAACCTCCAAATGAAGGCCCCCCAAATACAGCAGCCCTCCATCCAAACAGGGCACAGAAAGCAGGTTCTTACCTTTTTCCCCATGCCTGTTCAAGTGGAGGATAGGAACAGTGGCTTGGTACTGAGGTCCAACCATGATCTCCTGAAACATCACCAGAGATGCTGGTAAATGGAAATGGAAAAGGCTCCACGCAGGCCCAGAGGCGCACTTCATGATTTAGGGGCTGGAACACTATGAGGCTGCTTTATGTATCAGTAATCCCCCCTGTCACTGTTCTAGGGAACCCTGAGTATTTTATAGGCTAACTAAGAAGATTTACTACCAACAAGATGGTACTGTGGGGACTGGAGGCATTTACATAGTTTTAATGGTGAAGATATATGGCAAGCAGCTCAGCTGGAGATAAAGTCATGCAGAAGCTCTCCTGCAACCCTCACAACTAGGATGTATTTGGAAGTCTGCTCCTCTCTTTCCTATGGTGCTGCCCCCTCTGTAAATCCTGCTGGGAATATTGCACAGCTTTTCACCTTTATAGGGCTACAGGCTGCAGTTTTCATTTGCCAAGGCACAGCAGCATTTGCCATAGCTGAAGCAGAAGATAACTTCAGATGCAGGTTTCAAGATTGGATTAAAAGTACCTCTTGTAACCCACATCTGCTGCCACCTTTCACACAATACAAGGTGCTAAGGAAAAAGAAAAGAGATAGAATTCCTTGGTTTTGGTGTCACGTTTTCCTCAGATCCACGCACTGGCTCCCCTTCCCAACGTGCCCCAATCATTTACCTTCTTACACTCATTGGATGGGATGGAATCCTCCTCCGAATCCTCAGCCATGGAGGAAGCACATGGAGATGAGCAGGGCTCTTTGTCTTCATCAGCAAGGAAGTTGTTTGCTTTGTGGGAAAGGAAAACACCTATAGTTATTTCCACCCCCTACTGCTCTATGTTCCCTCCCCTTCATTTTCTGTCCTAAAGCTACTTTCACCAGGATCCACAGTGACAACTTACCCTGTTTAAATACAAGGATTTGCCCCCTTGCTACATGGGTGCTGCTGACCAACTTGGGGGGCTCAGGCTCCTTCATTCTGCAGGGTAGCAGACGGGATAAGACCACTTTGTGCCAAGTCTCCCTCTCTGCACTTCGGCTTCCCATATGTAGGAACTGCCACAATATATCACACCACTCATACTACTGCATTTATTCACTTCTAGAGATGTCAGATCAAGGGCTGATCTCTCAGACTGCAATCACAGCAGGTAGCAAAGCAGTTCTCACTTTCTCGATGGTATGAGTTACACCCAAAAGCAATTATCCCTCATCTCCACTCTATCACATCTTCACCAACACTCCTTAGCACCATTGGCACTCAGGTTTGGTTATCTGCAGCCCCCAGAAGGAAAGTGGAGAAACTGATGCCAAGAAACTGAGTGATAAAAGAAAGCAATCCCTTCTTGCTCTACGCTGCACATGACATCTAAGCAAGAAACCCCAATTACTTAGAAATCAGGGACACATACAGCCAGGCTGGTTTGGGAATAGGTCCGATGCATCGTGCGATGTGACGGATGGCGTCAGGTCGTCAGCTGAAGACTGTGTCTCCTCCTCTTCTTCCCCTGAAAGCAAATCCTTCGCTATTTGTTCCTTTTAACAACAACAAGAAAGTGAAAAATATGTTTAAATGAAGAAAATAGAGGAGGGGTGGGGGGGGTATGAGGCCTAGAGTAAAACATTCCCGGCCAATTCAAACCCCAAAGACAGATGCTCCCTCACTCTCCCCACCACACCCAGATTATTTTCCTTAGAAGCTCTTTTACAAGTGTCAAGAGTGGCTTCCCATGGAAGCCAGAGAGAGGACGAGCAAGTAGCCCTTTCTGTAGAGCTCCCCTCACAGCAGATAGTTGATGGAAGGAGAAAAAGAGCTTTCCATAGACTGTAGCTAGAAGAGGAGCCACATCTTCACCTGGCAAGGTACAAACCCTCCCTGATTCTCCAGAGCCACATCTGTGTGCCCAGACTTGTAACCCAGGTTCCATAAAGAGTTTTTACAGTGGTCTTTTTAAACAGCTCTCTCCTCTAAACTCTTTATGTTCACATTGCTGCTGCTGGCATTCCTCACTGGGACACCAGACCTAGGCAGGCCCCTTCCCTTGGCATCAGTTGAACCCCAGCTGAAAAGAGCTCCTGTATGCCTCAACCTCCAGACAGCCCAGTAACCAACAGCACCAAGAGCACACACCAAGCAGAGAGCTGCTCTTACCTTATCCAGAGTCATATCTGGGAGATTTGGAGTAATATCATTGCTCTCACTGTCCTGCTCCGAGATGTGATCAGATGCCTCATAGCCATAAAGTGCAAGCAGCTCCTCAAATGGCATTTCACTGCTCTGAGCGAGAGGAGGACAAAGCTTCATCAGGAAGGGAACAATCACCGAGCACAACACCAGCTGCAGTGAACACAGAGATATGCAGAGGCAGTCAAGGCACCTCTGCTCTTCTGGGGGCTCTGAACCGCCTCGGGTCATGCTGTGTAAGGAATGAGGCACTGAGGCCTAACAGGACCCACCATAACCTGCTCTTCTCAGGGGTGGGGAGAAGCCAGAAGCTTTTACCCCAGCCAAGGGCATTAAAAAGTATGTTTCTTTTTATATCTCTATGTTACATTTAATTGTTTTGCATTTATTACATACTATCAAATCATTATCTTTAGTTTTTATACTAGATTCCATGCTGGTGAAGAGATGCCAGACAGCACAGAGGAAGCAAAGCAAATCCAAAAGCAAACCCAAACCCCTCTTCCCCTCCCTCGCTGCCTTTACCTGAGAGGCACTGAAGCTCTTCTCCAGCTCTTCTAAAGATTTCTGCTTCTCCTGAGTATCATCTTCCTCCTCCCTTTCTTCCCGTACACCATAGTTCTGTGAAAGGATCTCTGCTAAGTTCAGTCGATGATCAGCTGAGCCCATGGACACAACTGCAGGGATTAAAAGAAGTTGGATGCTAGCACCACCCTGGACCAAATGTGCAGCTGCAACAAAGCTTGGGATGATCCCTTCTTGTGTGTGTGCAGCCATAACACAGAGGAGATGAGGTAGAAAGGGGCTGGGGAGCACCAACTCTGAAGTCACTCCAGGAGAGCCACATTACAAAGCTGGGTTCTCCACACATTCAAGTCCACAAGTGACTGAAAGCTGAGGGGTTTCGGGGTATTTGTGTGCCTGTCCCAACTGGATTCCCTGGTGTCACAACATGTGAATGGCTGGGGCAGCCTTTCCTTCACCCAGGATGGTCTGAGGATAATCACCCCTTATAGCAAGAATGGGCAAATGGGCACTTACAGGAGCATTGGCATCTCTAATATTCCCTGTCAAATGGCACGGGAGTCCACTGACAGGTTTGGAAGATGGCAGAAGGAGAAGGGAACAGACAGGCTGAGCACAGGAGCTCTGTCTCCTCTGGAAACGGGGCCAACAGACAGACACAGACTTAAACCACAGGTACCTGCTGCAGTCTGAAGGGCAGGCTCTGCAGGACATAGGCTGTGCGCTGGGTACGGCACCACCCTGGGGCTCTGCCGCCCAACCGAGGCCTTGAAGAGAAGAGAAGAGAAAGACACACCTGAGACATCTCCTCAAAGCTGACCCCGCCAGGCAATGCAGCTCATGTCATCCCAAAGCCAAAGATAACAAAACCCACATGGGCAGCACGAGCTCAAGTGTATCTCACAGCTCCCCCCCAGCTCCATCACCTTCCCCTTGATCTCTGTGTATGGAGCTGTTTCCACTTTATCTTCAGCACTGCATTAACTATTTCTCCTCTGACCAGTTTAAGATCTTTCTGGCTTACATCTTCCCTCACAGGATTACTTGGACCCTTATTCTAAATGCACACATGATGCTTGTCTGAAGGCAGCATTTTTAGGAGCTGCCCCATTGGAGGCAGCCACAGCTCACTGGCTTCTGCCTAACTCCTCACCACATCCAGAAGGCTCCAAGGGGTGAGTACAGAGATTTAGTGCTGAGTAGGCAACAAAGGAGCCTGGGAGGACTGGGGATGGTCCAGGTGAGACGGGAAAAGGCGAGACAAGTAGATACTGAGAACAGGCACCTGCTTTCTGGCATTCAGTGCTTGGTCAGAAGTTCAGGGAGCAGAATGAGCTGAGGCCTGGCAAAGAATCTGCTGCTGCTTGGGCTGCTGTGCATGGAAATGCTGTTCATCAAGCTCAGCCTAGGTAGGGAGCAAGCAGGGGATTAACCAGGGCCTATGGGTGACTGAGAGCATCCAACTGCAGAAGAGAATCACAGTCCCTCAGTCACCACTGACATCAGTTTATGATCCTCAGCCATTAACAACCACAGCCATGCACTGGCGCTCCTCAGTGGGAGCCAGGACATCTACAGTGCTACACCATGAGGCTCTTACAAGTGAAAGCACAGCCCAGCCTCACACCAAAATGCATCCTCTAACAATAAAGCAAAGAGTACACCAGAAAAGCTACCCCAGACTTTGGGTCTGGAGTTGGAGCCTTCAGGTACCAACACATACACTGCAAATTCCATAGCAACAGAGGCAGCTGGTTTTTAGGTCTAATTATCACTAAGACGATGGCTGGCCTGGAAAGAGATTGCCATAGAAAGAAGGCTCAAGAAGGAGGAAGGAGAAGGATGTGCGAAGCAGCTGTGGAATTCCTGCTCCCTCTCCTACCAGGACCAGGGAAAAGAGGATGCTTCTGGTTCAATGCTGCAGATTACTGTCCCCAGGCATGAGAACCCCACTGGAGACCACTGTAGCTGCAGGCAGAGCCCAGAGGTGGTCGCTGAAAGAAAAGCAAGGAGTTTATGGGATCATGAAAGGAGAAGGGGATGGAAAGGATTCAGACAGGCTCCATTTGGAGCATGCTCATACCAGGCAACAGCTTTGGAACTCAAGGAAGTAGCAGTGCCTCTTTTTTGGGCTCTGCTGGACCACGACCAAGCACAAAACCAGTGATCTTTCCTGAAACCCTCATCTTTGTGTCAATGGATTGCACCTCCTTCACACAGGGATCGATAAGGAGCTGCACGTAAAGGCCTCTGAAAGCAAAGCCTGAATCTGTCACAGTGGCTGGGCCAGCTTGAAAGGATGTCAAGAATCCTTCAGGAGCGATGAGATCTTATATTAACAATCAGGTGCTGGAATGAAGAGTGAAAGGCAGTATGACAGGGTCACAACTCAGCAGTTTATTTCCCCAAAGTAGTACCGCAGCATTAGGGCAAGTGGGAGCTGCTCTGAGCTGGAGTTGCCATGAAATAACCAGCACCACCAGATTTGGGATGAGAAGAGGAGAAATAAGTGACCAATAGCCCACTCCACCCCCAGATGTAAAGAGGTGTTGATCTTAATGAGCCTTCTGATGGTTTACAAAGACAGAGGCCAACAGAAACAAGTCAAAGGAGCAGGGGAGAAAGACAGGTCTGGCTTCAAAACATGAGCGATGCCAGAGAGAATATTCCCAGTCCCATTGACTCCTGAAGCCAGGGGATGTGGAGCTGTCCTGTTTGAAGGTGAGGAGCTGCAGTCCAATGCTTCAAATCCAGGTATCACATAGGAAATGGAACATGCAACAGCGTTACACAGGGCAGAAAGACACTGAGGTGCTGGTGGGGACCTCCAGGTCAGGAGTTCCTGGTCCAGGTGGAGATGCTCTTCTGGCTGGTGGCAAGGTTGGTCAGCAGGGAAGGGCGCAGGGGTGAATTCCATTCATTTTGGGCAGTGCCAATCTCTGTTTCTCAGGTATGTGTGCAAACTGGGTTTCTCCAGAGCACTACCAGAGAACATCTTGCAGAGAGTCATGGAGTACCCCAAGTTGGAAGGGATCCATAAGGATCACCAAGCCCAACACCTACAGGTTGAAACCACCCTCACAAGGAAGCAAAGAAGAAGAGAGCAGGTTTCCCTTTCCAGTGCTACATCTTCAATAACTCCCATGGCTCCCTGAGCTACTTTAACCCCGATTTCAAACCCAGTGAGAAGCCTTCCTTGTTCCTTTGCCTTTCCCCTACTACTTGACATGGGTCCCTTCTCTACAAACTCCAGCTGTAGCCAGAGGGAAGTGAAACGGATGGAAACGGGTTCATCCTGCACCTGAACAAGCAAACAAACACAGGACAAGAGACACAGCTCAGGAAAACCTGTGTCCCAATCACACACTGCTGCAGATACTCCAACCTCATCTGTGGGACACCAGCAGCTCCTGCATCTCCCTAAGAAGAGCAAATAGATGAAAGACCAGATGGCACCTTCCTCCTCACAGTGCTGGAACACCCTGATAGTGAAATCTCAATCTCTCCCAGTGTCCTCTTCCTACGGCGTGGTCACCACAAGGATCTCATGATAGAAGTGAACCACGATGTGCCACCACGACCATTACAACAGGGTGGGGATATCTCAAGGACGTGGCAAGATGTGATGGGGACAGCATCAGCAGCCGGAGCGCAGTGGAGCGATGGCAGCAGTGTTTCAGCACGATGTACCCAGCAAACACCACTGTGGGACCCCCTCTCAAGGTGGGTCTCCCTCTCCCAGCACTCAAACCATTCCCAAAGCCTTTCCTGCTCCTATGTCCTGGCCAGCAGCACTCTTCAACTGCTCAGGCCCCATCATTCACCTCCAACCCTCCTGAGCCCCCTTCCATCAGCCCTCAGCCCCCGCCTCCCATCCCACTGCACCGGGCTAAATCCTCGGGGCTCTGCTCCATCCCCGTAACCCCGCAGACCCACCCGCATCCCTCCGGCCCCGCTCCCGCAGGCCTGGCCCGGGCAGCCCCGCGGCTGCTCCCCAGGCTCGGCCGTTGGTCCCGCCCAGGCCCCTTCCCCTGGCCGTTGGCCTCCGCCCGGCCACGGTTGGTCCCAGTGCCCCCCGCGGCCGCAGCACCCGGACCCCTCGCGGCGCCCGGATGCAGGCCTGGGAGTGCCTGGGGTTGAAGGGCCCGGAGAGTACCGGGGCTCGGGGGTACCGGGGCCGGGGGGGTGCCGGGGCTCCGGGTTCCGCCGGGGGAGGCCCGAGGCCCATCACGAGCGCACCGGCTGCTCCTCACTCACCTCCGCCATGGCCGAGCGCGAGCGGCAGCGGGGCTCAGGCCCCGGATGAGGCGGCCGCCGCTCATTGGCTGCGGCGCCGCGAGGGCGGGGGAGCGCCGGGGGGCGCGGCGGCGCGGGGCCGGGTCAGGGGTCAGGGGCCAAGCGGAGCCGGTGGCGGGGCGGGGCCGGGAGGGGAGGCCGCGGAGGGAGGGGAGGCCCCGGAACGGCCCCGGGGCGGTGACACCGAGGGAGCGGCCCCGGAGACGGAGCCGGAGGGAGGAGCGGTGCCCGCAGCCAGAGCTTGAGTCAATTGATCAGTGGAGTCAATCGATCATCAGTCAATCGATCACCGGAGTCAATTGATCACTGGAGTCAATAGATCATCAGTCAATCGATCATCAGTCAATCGATCACCAGAGTCAATTGATCACTGGAGTCAATCGATCATCAGTCAATCGATCACCAGAGTCAATTGATCACTGGAGTCAATCGATCATCAGTCAATTGATCACCGGAGTCAATTGATCACCGGAGTCAATTGATCATCAGTCAGTTGATCATCTGTCAATTGATCACCGGAGTCAATAGATCACTGGAGTCAGTTGATCACCAGAATCAATTAATCACCAGAGTCTGTTGATCACCGGAGTCAATCAATCACCAGAGGCTGTTGATCACCGGAGTCAATCGATCACTGGAATCAATTGATCACCGGAATAAATCAATCACCAGAATCAATTGATCACCAGGGTTAATCGATCACTGGAATCAGTCGATCACCAGAATCAACCACCAGAATCAATCGATCACTGGGGTCAATTGATCACCAGATTTAATTGATCACTGACATCAATTGATCACCAGAGTCAGTTGATCACCGACATCAACTGATCACCAGAGTCAGTTGATCACCAGAGTCAATTGATCACCAGGGTTAATCGATCACCAGAGTCAATCGATTGCTGGACTCAATCAATCACCAGAATCAATTGATCACCAGAGTCAATCGATTACCAGAGTTAATCGATCACCAGAGTCAGTGATCACCAGAGTTAATCAATCATCAGTCAATGGATCACCAGAATCAATTGATCACCAGAATCAATTGATCACCAGAGTCAATCTATTACTGGAGTCAATTGATCACTGGAGTCAATTGATCACGGAGTCAGTTGCTCGCCAAGCTGCACTCTGCAGGAAGCAGTCAGTGGCCCTGTGTGTTGCTCAGCAGCTGCTGGATCCCAGTTAGCGGGAGGGAAGGGGGGAATTGGGGTTGGAGCCCCAGGATGCTGGCTCTGCACCATGGCCGTGCCCCGGAGCCCCAGGGATGCACTGGCACCAGCGGCTGGGGCTGTGCTGTTGAAGGGCTGCTGAGCACAACCTAGCAGCGCACGCCTGTGACACCGCTCCCAGTGCCCCAAGGGGCTGCAGGGAACCTGGAGAGGGGCTTGGGACAAGGGCCTGTAGGGACAGGCCAAGGGGAATGGCTTGAACCTGCCCGAGGGGAGACTGAGCTGAGCTCTTAGGCAGAAGCTCTTCCCTGTGAGGGTGCTGAGGCGCTGGCACAGGGTGCCCAGAGAAGCTGTGGCTGCCCCATCCCTGGCAGTGCTCAAGGCCAGGTTGGACACAGGGGCTTGGAGCAAGCTGCTCCAGTGGAAGGGGTCCCTGCCCGTGGCAGGGGTTGGGACTGGATGAGCTTTAAGGTCCCTTCCAACCCAACCCATTCCCTGGTTCTATGCTCACTCAGCTCAAGTCGATGCAGCTCTGTCCCACAGCAGTGATGCCCCCATAGAGCTGTGCCCAGGGAGGATTCCCAAGCTCCTTTCCCCAGGAGCAGCCTCCGCACCCGGTTTCACTCAGGCTTTTGAGCTTGGGAAGCAAAGCATCCTCAAGTGCTTCTGAAGTGGTGGCCCTTGAGCCCTGCCCCAGCGCACTTCAGCAGCCCTTTATTCCCTTCTCAAAGGACTAACACGTTGCAGATGCTCTTTATTCCATTCCAATAGTTCCCTTTCAGGGCTGCTTCCTGCCTGCCTCCCAGGTCTTTTGCCCCCCACAAAAAGCAGGAAGGCTTTGCCTCAGGACCAGGAATGGGCATGGATTCTCAGGTCTTTTGTTTGCAGTTTGCTCCGGGAGCTTCCCTATGGGATGTGGGAAGCAGCTCAGGCAGCCCATGGGTTCAAGGGTGGCTTCTGTGTGTAGCTGCTCAAAGCTTCCCTGCATCCCATAAAACCCATAAAGCCAGGTCCAAGGCAGAGCCACCACTGACCAAGGCTGAGCCCATCCGCGATGGTGGAAGCACCTCTGGGATAAGATTGAGGAAGGGAGGGATAAAGAAGCCCTGAGCAGTTTTGCAGCCACATTGAGGAGTGAGAAGATGAGAGCAGCAGCCCTGCAGAGCCCAAGGTCAGTGAGGAAGGAAGGGATGCACCCAGCACCCAGCACCCAGCCAGGGGCACCCCAGCACAGTGGGGAAGGGGGCAGCAGCTCAGCCCCACTGCCTGTACCCATTCTGCTGCCTGATGTTGATGTTGAGCTTCTCAAAGGCCTTTAAACCCCAAGCAGGGGTTGGGATGCTGGTGACTGGAGCTCTCCATCTGCCTGCCACTGATGTTGTGATGCTCCCCAGTTTACAACTGCTGCTCTGTGGGCAAAGACAACAAAGCATAGAAGGATGAAGGGACTTTGCCCAAAACCAGGGTTGCTTTGCCTCTAAACCACATCAGCCTTGCCCTCCTGGGCTGTACCTGGTAAGCAATGATGCTTCCTGGAACAGCTTTACAGCCTGGAGACAAAACAGCAAAGACCTATCCACTGGATACAGCGCAGCCACAAGGGACTGGAGATACGAGTAAAGGCTTACATGGGTTCAAAAAGCAGCTTTGAAAGGGAAAAAAAGCCCTATAGCAGGATTGGGAAAGGACTAACCCTGCCTTGGGAAAGTGGGGGTTTGTGTCCAAACACGTCCTGCTGGAGGCACGAAGGATGCTGGCGATGCAGAGGAGGTGAGAGCTGTGTGTACAAGCTTTGGCTGTAAAGAAACACTTAAGTTTCCTGTCGGTTGAGGCTGTGAACAGATAGGAGAACAGCTTTGGCCATTTCAAGTAGCTCTCAATGGAGCTGTGGAGAAGCATCAGTTTCCATGGATGCTAGATGGAGCTCTGCTCCTCACAAATAACCTGCTGCTTCAGGTTTTCCAACAGCCTCTATGCTTTGGAACGTGCCAGCTCCTCGGGACCCCCCCACCCCAGCACTGTGAGCTGCTCATTGAACACGTATGGTCTGTGCAGCCCTTGTGCAGGTTCTGTCCATCCCAGCATGGCCACTTGAGAGGGTGGAGGGGTTGAGGTGCCACCAACCTCATGGAATCGCAGCCTGGTTTGGGTTGGATGGGACCTTAAAGCCATTCCCCTTGTCCTGTCCCTACAGCCCTTGTCAAAACAGATCATACAGGAAGCATTTTGGGAACTCCTATGAAGTGCAACAGCTACAAGCATAAGAGAAGCTTCTGTCCCTGATGGTGATATCAGCACCAGTGCCCAAAGACCCTTGACCGAGGTGATGACTCTCCAGGGGTAGTCATTCACTCCTGGTTGTGATGCAGGGATGGGCTTCCTGGAGGGAATGCCGCTGTGATGCTCAATCCACTTGTTACTGATCCTCTCCTCCTCAGCCACTACAGCCCTGACGTGGAAGCCTGGTCCAAGTCCAAGATCCATCTTTCCAACTGTTACAAGGTGTTGGGGAGGCGACATGTGGAGCAGAGACCCTGGATGCCTCCTGTCTCACAGCTCCCATAACAACCGTGCCTGCATCAGCATCCCAAATGGAGCATAGCATCCCAAATGGAGCATAGCATCCCAAATGGAGCATAGCATCCCAAATGGAGCATAGCATCCCAAATGGAGCATAGCATCCCAAATGGGCACTATTTCCTTTTCCCTCCCTCCTGCAGCAACCTCTAGCTTTCCAAATTCACCTCCAATCCCATCCTGACAAGCTGATTTGATGGCGTTGCCATGGGACTGGGAATTCCAGTGCAGCCCTAAGGGATTAGCCCTGCAGGTCAGGTAACAGCCATCCCAGGTGCTGGAATACGGGCTGGCATCGCGGGTACAGGCAGGAAGCTGGGATGTGACAGTTCCAACAGGCAAGTGAAGGCTTTGCAGCTCCTCGTGTCTGCCAAGTGTGCGGTGGCACTGGGATGGCAAATCCATCTCCAGATGTCAACATTCCCACAAGGCCAGCACCGGGATAGCAGTGATTTGGGGACAGGGAATGGTTGCTTCCTCCGAGCACACTCTGCTGGTGTGGGAATGCCTGGAGCTGGAGCCAAGGGAACAGCAAAGCAACACAAAGCCCCTCCTGCACCAAGTCATGGTCTTTCACCATGGGGTACCCTCTTGACCACCCCACACTGCAGCCTCCCCCATGGCCCCTTTGCTGTGGGGTTGATGGGATCAATCCTGCACCCAGGGAAGGTTCTGGGTTTGAAATACAGACTGAGGACAAAGTGCTCTGAGCACCCCCTTGGCCCTGCTGCCATGGGCACAGCTTGGATGCTGCCATGGGCACAGCTCGGATGCTGCCATGTGGTACCCTGAGCTGCTGACTCCAAGAGGGAGCTGAATGAAGCAGTGCTGATGAGGGACTCATTCATCCTGGTGCCTGTCATCCTTATGGGGGTGAGGAAGCCCTGCATCCTTGTGGAGCAGTGGGATGCAGTGATGGCACTGGGAAGGAGCATCCTGACCACCCTGCCCTGCTCCATCCTCACATCTTGCATCCATCCTCACATCCCAGGAGCCCCCCCCAGGACCTGTGGGATGGGTGCAGGATGGACAAGGGTCCCTCACGTGTGTCACTGCAGGCACTTGTGGCCTGATGGGACATGTGGCTGCCCCCCATGCACACGCATGTGCTCAGGGGGTGGACACGGGCTGTCACACATGTCTGTGGGGTGTCAGCACGTGTTGCTCCAACTGCCCGGGCTGAGGCTCCCGCAGCGCCTGGCAGCATTCCCAATGAATTCAGCGCTGCCCTTCCCAGCCGGCAGCCCCGGGAGAAGGTGTTTTGCAG